CCAACTCAGTGAAGACAAAGGAAAGCGTGTCTCCTTAGCTCCAGGTCCTTCTAGCACTCTCATTTCATGTCTGCCACTGTCTTTTTAATACAGACTTTATTGATGTCAGAGAAGGGAGAAAGAGCCCTGACCAGTTGGCTCAGTGGATAGAGCGTCGGCCTGCGGACTGAAAGGTCCTAGGTTCGATTCCAGTCAAGGGCATGTACCTTGGTTGCGGGCACATCCCCAGTGGGGGCCGTGCAGGAGGCAGCTGATCGATGTTTCTCTCTCATCGATGTTTCTAGCTCTCTAGCCCTCTCCCTTCCTCCCTGTAAAAAATCAATAAAATATATTTTTTAAAAAAAAAAGAGAAGGGAGAAAGAGAGAGAAACATCAATGATGAGAGAGAATCATGGAGCAGCTGCCTCCTGGGAATCGAGCCCGCAACCTGGGCATGTGCCCTGACCGGGAATCGAACCCTGACCTCCTGGTTCATAGGTCGATGCTCAACCGCTGAGCCACACCGTCCGGGCGCATCTGCACTGTCTTCATCAGAGGCTCTTTCTACGTAGTTTTCATGAAACGTCCTCTCGTGCCTCTTCCTCACGTCTCTTCCTCGTCCCCCTCCGTGTCCTCCCTCAGGAACCTCTACTGGACGGACTGGAACCGAGACAGCCCCAAGATCGAGACCTCCTACATGGACGGCACCCACCGCAGGGTCCTCGTGCAGGACGACCTGGGCCTGCCCAACGGGCTGACCTTCGATGCCTACTCGTCCCAGCTCTGCTGGGTGGATGCAGGTGAGGCCTGGGGTCGGGGCCGTGTGCCCCACCGAGAGCCGGCCCGGCTGGACAGCAAGAGGATGTCGAGGGAAGAGGGCACGAGAGAACATTTTCTTTTCCTGCACAAAAATAGCTGCATTGTCTTGCTCGGAAAGCCATGGTTTCTCGGGGCTTGACGCTGTCTGGGGAGGGGTTTCCATCACTGAAGTCTGGGGTCAGCGAACTCCAGCCCGTGGCGTCCAGCCTGCCCCCTGCTCGGGGGTCACCCGGGGCCTGGAAACGTGACATTTTAAATGGTTACGTAATTGCCCACTTCATGTCCTTCATGTTGCCTCTTGGCCCATAGAACCTAACATACAATCTGGTCCTTTAACAGATCTGGTATCTGTTCATCGATTCACGGCGTACAAACCTGTAGTCGCCACGGGCCAGGGCAGGACGTGGAGCCACAGGAGATAAAGCCATGCCCTCCTGCCTGGGCCCTGCCGGGCAGACCTGGGCATCCTTCGGGCACGGGCTGTGGGCAGCAACATCCGTCACCGTCTGTCTCTGTTGAGAACGTGTCCGGTGCCACGGGGCTGCAGGGGCTACGTCTTGCACTTGGGGCGAATGAGGGGTGAGGTGCCCACGGTTACGGGAACACACCTTAGTCGCCATGTGGGCACCGGCCCGAGACTTGCCCAGCTGCTGCCCAGCGGTGCCCTGTCGTCCGTAGGTCTGAGGGGGACGTGAGCAAGAACTAGGAGGTGGCCTCTTCCTCCTGAGCCCCTGCTCCGGACACAGGCTCTGCTCATACTGCCCAGCAGAGCCCGGCGTGGGTGCCCCACAAGGGGGATGCTGACCGACCAGGGCAAGAGGGGCTGAAGGGCTGCTCAGGGTTTGAGGAGCACCCCGTGCATTCTCTGGGACCCACCAGGGGAGGGCTCGGTTCCCCCGGGCCAGGTCGGGCTCTTCAGAGCTAGGCTCTGTTCTTGGGGGTTCGCTTGGCTCTTGGGGGTTAGCTCAGCTTTTTGGGGCTACTCTCAAGGCTTGGCTTTTGAGACTGGGGACTGGCAGGTTCTCTCGCCCCCTCTCCTTGCTCAGTGACACAAAGGGGCCCTTTCCTGGGCGGGGACAATGAAGGGCTTGTTCTCGCTCCCACAGGCACTAGCCGGGCCGAGTGCCTAAGGCCGGAGCAGCCTGTCCGTCGCAGGGTCCTCGAAGGCCTCCAGTACCCTTTCTCGGTGACGAGCTTCGGGAAGAATCTGTATTACACGGACTGGAAGACGTGAGTCAGCGGCCTGCCTGGCCACCCTCCCCCTTGGGGCGGCCCAGCCCTGCCCTTCTGCCACCTGGCCTGACCTCCCGTCTCCGAGATGCCCCCGCCGGCCGGCCTTCCGGTGGACAGGAGATGATGAGGCTCCTGGGAGAGCGGGCGCCATGGATGCCATGGCGCAGCAGGGTGGGCGGCGGCCTCCAGGCTGTACCCTGGGGCTTGCTGAGCCCTGAGCATCCCTGCTCTTTCCCCGGAGCTGGCCCGGGGAGACCCTCGGCTGGTGGGCTCCGTGCCCACTCCGTGCCCCACTTTCTCATTGTTCTTAAGCTGCATGTGCCACAGGCCCTCGGCCACCCCTCCCGGCAAAGTGGAGGTTAAACAGAGCAAGCCCTGTGGCTGGGCTGTGTGCATAGGAAGCAGATTTCCCAGCTTAGAATGTGGTGCCAGAGGGGAACCCCAGCCGATCCTGTCCTTTATTTTTCATATATTTTTATTGATTTCAGAGAGGAAGGGAGATAGCTAAAGAGATAGAAACATCACTGATGAGAGAGAATCATCGATCGGCTGCCTCCTGCATGCCCCTCCTGGGGATCGAGCCATGACCCCGGCATATACCCTTGACCGGAACCGAACCCAGGACCCTTCAGTCTGCAGGCCAATGCTCTATCCACTGAGCCAAACCGGCTAGGGCTCTGTCCTTTTTTTTAAGAAGACAGGGAAGCCCAGCCAGTGTGGCTCAGTGGTTGAGTATTGACCTATGAACCAGGAAGTCACGATTCTATTCTGGTCAGGGCACATGCCTGAGTGTGGGGCATACAGGAGGCAGCGGATCGATGATTCTCCCTCATCATTGATATTTCTATCTCCCTCTCTCCCTCCCTCCCTTCATCCCCCTCTGAAATCAATAAAAGCATATATTTATATGTAAGAAAAAAAAGGGAAATGCAGGCTTGACCACCCCCGCGGAGGAAGGGCTGGCTGGGGGGCAAGGCCAGGGTAGCAGCGTACACTGCACAGCCTCCAGCGTCTCCCCAAAACCACGGAAGAGGCTGCTCTGTCGGGAACAGTGGGAGCCGTCAGATGTGTGTTACCTTCCGCCTCTGGGTTCTTGTAGGAACTCCGTGGCTGCCGTTGATATCGCTGTTGCCAAAGAGACGGACACCTTCCACCCCCACAAGCAGACCCGGCTGTACGGCATCACCACCGCCCTGTCTCAGTGTCCCCAAGGTAACCCACCTGGGCTCCCCCTGCGCAGGGGCCGCACCCACACTCGCAGGGGAGGCGCGGTCCCCCCCGGTCCAGGGTCTGCCTTGTTTGTGGCTGAGCCAGATGCGTAGGACGTGGCCTGAAGGGACAAGGGGAGGAAGAGCACCGAGTCTGGGGCCGGGTCCAGAAGTGGCTGCCTTCTAGAAGGTTCCAGCCAGGAGCGTCAGTGCTAGGAGCTCTGCTGCTTTGAACGTCCATGTATTCGGCCGAACAGCCATAGCCATAATTAATAATAAAAATAGTTATAAACACGGAGCGGGCACTTTCGGCGAGCTGGGTGCTTTGCACAGATGGACTCCCTCGGCATCCTGAGTGCTGTGTGTTCATTCGTTCATTTACTCCTCACAGCAATGCCGTGAGTAGCTACGGTTATTATGCTCCTTTAAAATAGATTTCTGCCGAAACCGGTTTGGCTCAGTGGATAGAGCGTCGGCCTGTGGACTGAAAGGTCCCGGGTTTGATTCCGGTCAAGGGCATGTACCTGGGTTGCGGGCACATCCCCAGTAGGAGATGTGCAGGAGGCGGCTGATCGATGTTTCTCTCTCATCGATGTTTCTAACTCTCTATCTCTCTCCCTTCCTCTCTGTAAAAAATCAATAAAATATATTTTTAAAAAAATTATAAAAAAATAAAATAGATTTCTATTGATTTCAGAGAGGAAGGGAGAGAGAAAGAGAAGCATCCATGATGAGAGAGAGTCATTGATGGGCTGCCTCCTGCACGCTCCCTACTGGGGATCGAGCCCGCAACCCGGGCATGTGCCCTAGGAACCTGACCTCCTGGTTCCTAGGTCGACGCTCAACCACTGAGCCACACCCACCGGGCTATTATGCTCATCCTATATAATAAAAGGCTAATATGCAAATTGTCCCCTCGGCCAGGATTTCGACTGGGAGTTCGACCAGGGGGGTGGGCCGGCCGGCCAACCACCCGCAGCCCCTCCCCCCGCTGGCCCTGCCCGATCGGCCCGATCAGGGCGGGCTGGCTGGACCCCACCCGTGCACGAATTCATGCACTGGGCCTCTAGTTTGATAAATAAGGAAGCTGAAGCCATTCGCCCAACATCACATGGCTGACCGTGGCAGAACCAGAGGCAAGCTCGGCCCGGAGTCGGTGCTGCCTCTTCTAGACCCCTCCCCGGACGGACTCTCGTCCCTGACTCCCTCCTCCCCCCAGTCAGGTGCAACGCCACATGGGCAAGCTAGGTAGAGGGTACTTTGTGTTTTAAAATCCCAACTCTGTGTTACAATCAGAGCAAGTAAAAATTTTTCTTCCCCCGAGAGACCGAAGGCCCCCCCCCCCCCCCCCCCCCCGCCGGGGGGCAGGAATCAGGCTTTCAGACTTTTTGGCAGAAACAGCCGAGGAGCTGAGCTTAACGGAGTGCCTGGTACACCCCCCCCCCCTGCACCCCGGAGCCCCCACAAGGCGTGGCCTCCATGTGCTTAGAGGCTGTCGAGCTGATTTCTGCCTCCTCCAGGTCACAACTACTGCTCAGTGAACAACGGCGGCTGCACCCACCTCTGCTTGGCCACCCCAGGAAGCAGGACCTGCCGTTGCCCTGACAACACCCTGGGAGTTGACTGCATTGAGCGGAAATGAAGACAAGACTGCCTTGTTTCCTCACCGAGTATTTCGCAAGCAACACCCTGCTGCAAAGGGTCCAGACCGAAAACTGTCTGACCTGGTGGCTGAGTGGCCGCCAGCCTGAGCCTTAACAACGTTCCCCTCCCCGTTCCCCAACTCATAAGCCCTGAGCTTCTGGAATGGGGAAGTTCCTACCCCTCCACAAAGACAGGACCCGCCCCCCCGCCCCCCCCCCCAAACCCTTAGACAAATGAATACAGCCCCGAGGGAGGGTTACGTGCCCTGTCCCTGTGCTCTGGAACTAAGTTGTGTTCCCCAACTTAGCACCCCAGTGGTGAGCAGACCCTCCCAGGCCTGAGCCATCCCCTGTGGCCTTATAAGCTCAGCCGCACACTGACACACCCACCACTTTGTCAGCACCTTGACACCTGCCAAGGCTGCAGCCCGTTGGAACCTAAATCAGGGGAGAGCCTTTCCTTGAATAATTGGAGTTTGTTTTCAGAGGCGAGTTCCCCCCCCCCGCCCCCCCGAGAATCACAGCGTTTGGGGAACACACAGGTTGTTTAGATGGCCCAACTCATAAATTAGTTTCACTTTCTTTTTATATTTATCATTCATTCTATATCAAGCCCTCTATATTCAAACGTTTGTCGTGATTTTTGTATAATTTTTGTAAGTGTTTTTTTAAATGGTAAATTCTTGAACTGTGGAAACCATTGAAGGTGCTTATTAACTGTTCCCCCAGTTTATACAACTGTTGGATGATTCCTTGAGTTTACAGCTATATAAATAGGAGTGTAGACAATAAAAAACATTTTTGGTAATAAGTCTTCCTCTGTCTTACCTGAATGAAGAAAGTAATGTCAGGAGGCTGACTCACGATGAAAAGACAACCGTGTGATAGTTGGCGACCCTGGCGTTACAGGGGGGCAGTTTGTGTCCCAGGGGAGTCCACAGAAGACTGACGGGTGTGGGGTTGACTTAAACACAAAAGCAGTCACACACCACCCTGTTGTGTGTGTTTTTGTGTTGTTGGTGTTTTTTTTCCATTGATTTTTAGAGAGAGTGGAAGAGAGAAGGAAAGACAGAGAGAAACATCGATGTGAGAGAAACACATCGATTGGCTGCCTCCTGACCAGGGCCCAGGCCAGGGAGGAGCCTGCAAGCAAGATACCCTTGACCGGAATTGAACCCAGGACCGTTTGGTCCGCAGGCCAATGCTCTGTCCACTGAGCCACACCAGCTAGGGCCACACCACCCTTTTGGCCATTGTTTTCATTTTTTTAGAAAATGTCCATTTCCTGATTCTGCAGCAAAGAATTACTCCTACCTCTTTAAACCACAGATGGTAGATGTGAGGTCACTATGGCGTCTGGGATCCGCTGGACACATTTGTAAGGGTGATGTAATAGCCTTATTTTTTTAAAAATATTTTCATTGATTTCAGAGAGGAAGGGAGAGGGAGAGAGAGCTAGAAACATCAATGATGAGAGAGAATCATGGATCAGCTGCCTCCTGCATGCCCCCCTCATGGGATCGAGCCTGCAACCCGGGCGTGTGCCCTGACCGGGAATCAAACCGGTGACCTCCTGGTTCCTGGGTCCATGCTCAGCTGCTGAGCCACACCCAGCTGGGCCAGCCTTATTTGTTAAATACCAGCATGCACTTAACACCTGGCGTGACGTCTCTTTGCAACGAGGCAAACCTGCAGCGAATGATGTTTCCAAGACAATGAAAAGGTAAGGGCAGCGTGGTTTTTGCAAACTTCTTTTCGAGGCCGCTCAAGCTCACACGTTTGCAGATGTGAAAGGAGGGGGAGAGACAGGGCCCAGAGCCCTTCCTGGCGGGACTGTCCCTGCCTGGCTGTGGCTCCAGGATGGGCCTCCTGGTTGCCTGAAGCGCTGGTGGGGCCAGGTGAGCCCTGGTGACACTCAGCCTGGGCTTTCCAGCAGGTGTGACAGGTTGTACTAGTCTTCTCGGGTGCAGTTCCAGCAGAGGCCACTAGAGGGCAGGAGAGACCGCTCAATGCCTGCCTGGTAGAGTGGGTGTGGGGCTGGGGTGCAGGAAGGGGCGAGGTGTGCGGGTAGGGGATGGGATAGGGGTGGGGCCCAGGGTGGAGGCTCCAGGAGGCCCCGATAACTTCCCCCAAAGCAGCAGGGCTCAGCCTTTCTTATCATCCTGCTCAAGAACTTTCTTAATGTTGGTGGGTTGCCTAACCCGTAACCAAAGGGAAGTCCCGATGTCCGTTTCCCAAATGTCTTCAAGCCTCTTCATTTCAATGCGGATTTCCCCCAGAGAGCCCCGCACGTTCCTTCCAAAGTTACCCAATAGGCATTCAGGGCTTCGCGGGGCCCTGGGGCCGCAGCCTTCCTTCCTGGGCGCGCTGCTGTGTGCACCCCAGTCCCTTCCTCTCTGCAGGGGCAGGAGCCGCCTGCAGAGCCTCCTCGCAGCCTCAGAAGGAACCGACCCTGCGGACACCTTGATCTTGGACTTGTGGCCTCCAGAGCTGAGGCCCTACGGTTCTGTTTAAGCCTCTCGGTCTGTGGGGTCGGTTACAACAGCCTAAGGAACCGATCCACACGGGACGCGTTCCCTAATACGCAGGCTCCATCTCAGTTCTTGCCGATCGGAGGTTTCTTGGGATTAAAACGTGGGTTTCAGAAGGAAACCAACATGAGCTGCAAGTGTGCGGGACCCCCAAGCGGGAGCCTGCACTTCGTGGTGGTCAGGACTCAGAGCCGCCCTGTGAGCTGGGCGGGGTGGGCCCTGTGAGCTAGGCAGTGCGGGGCGTGCAGGAGGCGGCCGATCAATTCTCTCTCATCATTGCTGTTTCTCGAGCCCTCTCCCTTCCTCTCTGAAATCAATAAAAATATATTTTTTTTACAAATTTCAGGTTGAGAGGGAGATGGGGAAAGATCCCCTCCCTCCCATATTGCTGATGGCAGAGCCTTGCAGACGGGAATTCCCTGGCTTCCTGGTCACAGCTGTGGTGACTTTGGAGTCACCCCCCTTCCAGGGTCACTGCACACACTGGCACCTGGGGGGAGGGGGCGCGGGCTGGGCAGGCAGATGCACACACTGGACAGGCCTGCCCTGGCCCCGCCCCAGGTCCTCTGCTAGGCTGGCCTGGAGGGGGAGGGGCAGACACTGTGGGCTGTCCCTGGGGCCTGCAGGTTCCCAGTGGCTCCACCCATGGGCTCTGCAACAGTTCCTGTTTGGGGACCCAGGTACCAAGTGAAAGTGACAAAGAGGAAGCTGTGGCTGTCCCAGGGAGAGGGGTGGGGGCAGGGCCGCCTTCCCGTTGCCCTTTGCGGGTGGGATGCTCCCGGGCTCATGGCAAAGGCTCAGTGGGACCTGGGCCGCTCCCAGCTGCTGCTGCGGGGGCCCCTGGAGTCCACAGAATAGGGGAGACCTTCACTCAGGCGCTCCTTCCTTTGCCATCACCCCCCACCCACAGCCACCCCCACCCCCACTCACCCACCCTTCCCTCAGTGGGTACTTCTCACACTGCCCTGAAATGACCTCTTTTTAAAAAATATATTTTTATTCATTTCAGAGAGGAAGAGGGAGATAGAAACATCAATGATGAGAGAGAATCACTGATCCGCTGCCTCCTGCACGCCCCACCCTGGGGATCCAGCCCGAAACCCCGCATGTGTCCTGACCAGAATCCAACTGTGACCTCCTGGTTCATAGGTCGATGCTCAACCCCTGAGCCACACTGGCCGGGCTGAAATGACCTCTTTCTTTGTCCACTTCCCAGACTGGCCTGGGGAGGGTTTGAAGGCAAGCCCTCCGCGCCCCTCATCCTTGCTGCCCGATGCCTGGGAGCCGGCAGGGCACACAGCAAGCACTCCTCCAGCGTCGATGGACGGACAGAGGGCGTGGGTGCACTGGGAGCCGACAGGTTCCCACCCAAGCAAAGGCTCCTCCAGCCGAAACTCCCTCCCCCTGCCAGGATGTGGCCCACCGCGGCCTGTCCGCTCTGTGACGTTCTGGGAAGGGTGACGGTGAGAGATCCGGCCCTCGTCCTCGCCTCTCCTGGGTCATCAGGAGGCCGCAGAGCCCCTGTCACAGGGTAACTGCTTCTTCAGGCCTCAGGGTTCGAGGTGCATCCCCCTCGGCTCACAGGGTGTCGAGCCTCCCTCGTGGCATGGCCTTCCTGGGGGCACCGTCATGTGAGGGCGCTGCCCTCCCAACCACCCCGCCAGGGTCGAGGGAGGCCACCTGGGAAGGTGACCGCCCACCGCGGACGGTGCTGTCAGAGCCCGGGTGCCTGACTCCACTCGCAGGGGCTCTGCTCACCTCTGTGCCCTTCGTGTCCCTAAGGCCAAAGGCCCTTTTTCTTTTCTTTTCTTCTTTTTTAAATATATTTTATTGATTTTTCACAGAGAGGAAGGGAGAGGGACAGAGAGCTAGAAACATCGACCAGCTGCCTCCTGCACGCCCCCCACTGGGTATGTGCCCGCAACCAAGGTACATGCCCTTGACCGGAATCGAACCTGGGACCCTTCAGTCCGCAGGCCGACGCTCTATCCACTGAGCCAAACCGGCTAGGGCTCCTCTCCTCTCTCCTCTCCTCTCCTCTCCTCTCCTCTCCTCTCCTCTCTCTCCTTTCCTTTCCTTTCCTTTCTTCTTAGTTCTCATTTGAGAATATTTCCCCATTGATTTTTAAGGAGAGTGGAAGGGAGAGGAAAAGACAGAGAGAAACATGGATGTGAGAGAAACACATCGATGGGTGGCCTCCTGAATGCGCCGGACCAGGGCCCGGGCCGGGGAGGAGCCTGCCACCGAGGTGCGTGCCCTTGACCGGGATCAGACCCGGGACCCTTCGGTCTGCAGGCTGACGCTCTATCCGCTGAGCCAGCTGGGGTCAGAGGCCCCATTTTTTTCAAAAGACAGCGTGAGACCTTCTCGCTGGTTGAGCCGGTTCTTGCGCAGCGCGGGGCTGTTTGTGGGCTCGCGGGGATGTGGCAACAGTGGCTGTGGCCTCCGAAAGGCGTTCTCCATCTGGGATGGGGGTTACCCACAGGCCCGCTCCGCAGGAACTGGGCACGTCTCCTGACGCAATCGCAACTGCTGGCCGTTCTCTTCTCAGGAAGCAGGACAACGTGTGCTGGGGTGCGGCACCCACGGAAGAAGGGGCCCGGGGCCCGGCCGGTGTGGCTCAGTGGTTGAGCATTGACCTATGAACCAGGAGGTCAGGGCACATGCCCGGGTTGCGGGCTCCATCCCCAGTGTGGGGCGTGCAGGAGGCAGCCAGTCACTGAGCCACACCGGCCGGGCCAGGTGTACACGTTGAAGGGTCACGTGTCGCTTCAGCCGCCCCGGGCCGTGTCCTCCGTGGGGCTCAGGCCGCGTGTGGAGAACGCCGCTCGCTGGGGCCTGTCTGATCGGCTCCTCGTGACCAGCTCCACTGATGCGCTCGGGGCTGGCATGTTACATAAGTGATAACACTCGGTGAGTCACGCAGGAGGCACATGATGTTGGTGTTCGTCTGTGGGGAGATACTACGGGGTGAGAAATAGCTGGTTCCTCTCCAGCGTGTCCCCAGCGGTTTCTAAACATGCCACACACTGGGCGCCGCCCACCACACCCTCCCCAGGTGGCGGGTTCCTCCCGTGCACCCCCTTCCTGTTCTCAGGACAGAGCTGGCTCCTCCTGTCCCTTTCCCCTCCCCCGCCTGTCACAGAGGTTTGCACTGAACAAGGAGCCCACAAGGGCTTGTCGGACAGACCTCTGAACCAGGAGGTCAGGGTGCGATGCCCAGTCAGGGTCAGGGCACATGCCCAGGTTGTGGGCTCAAGTCCCAGTGGGGGGGCGCACA